CCCGAGGGAGCAGCAGCCGGACACAGACCTTTTCAAGCGCTGAAGCGCAAACTGTGAGTTGAAAGAGGCATGTGTGCACATAGCACAGCTTGACAACAGAGCAAGCATCAGGCCTCAATTACGAATTGATCTGGTCAGACAAAGAAACAACTATGCTAGCAAAAGTGCGCTAGTTGCCGTTCAAGCGGGCCCGTATAGAAGCAGGGTCAGGCAACCCTTCTTGCACGCCACTTGGGCGAGCTTTCTGGGTGGCATGTTTGACCAAGCTCAAAAGACGGATGCGCGCGTGAAGGGGGCCCTGAAGGTTCATCTTTCCGGATTTGAGATAGGCACTGAGACTGCCACCCCAGTTCGGCTGTACCAAGATACCACAAGGCTTCCCACGCGACTGGATCTGATGAGCTAAACAAAATCGAACTTCCTTCTAAGACCAGTACCTGTAATGTAGGGACCTTGATAATTAGAATGGGGTTTTGGGGTCCATTATAATATAACTATGACCCCCCCAAAATACTATATTGCCTGTAAACCACAATCTCCCAAAACTGAGCCCAGCCAAGCATCTCAGGCAGTGCTTCTCGAGGTCTTCGATGAGGTACATCTTCGAGACCTCCCGAGCGTAACGTAGGGGCCTTAATAATTAGAATAGGGTTCTGGGGGCCATTAAACTATCATTATAATAAGCAACCCCGAAAATAGTAATGGTAATTATTTGGGCCCCTATATGAGGGTTTAGCGTCTAAGGTTTGAGCTCCACCGCCCTACATCCCTCAACCTCACCGGTTTCGGGTCTACAGGACCTTGAGCCTAAACCCTACCTATAGTCTCCATTGTAGTTCCTTTTTGGGGATACCTTATAAAATCCTTGTTATATATTTGGTTAAACCAAAAAAAGGAACTACAATGGAGACTATAGGTAGACCCTAAACCCTAAACCCTGAACCGAAAAGCCTGCCACACCGAGGAAGCCCCGAAGCGACAGCGAGGCCGAGGCCTTCAGCGCATGCACAGCGCTCTGCGGGGACAGCCTGAGAGCGCAGAGAGCCCGAGGCCTCCTTGAGGGCACCCTGCAACTTGAAATGGCTACCCAGAAGGCCCCATAGCAGTTCCTTTTTGGGATTCCCGAATAGGATTCTACATATGAACCCCAGAAAGGAACTACTATGGGGCCTATGGCTAGTTTCGCCAGCACTTAGCGAGAAGAATGATTCCCTTTAGTATCGTCGGTGTTAAGAAGGACAGCGGGCTGCTGGGGGACTGGGGTTGCGCTGGATTTTTGTCTGTGTCGGTGTCGGTCCTATGCCCGCATCAAGCTTTTTTCAACCAACCCCGGTTCAAACGCTTCCCTAGACCCTAAACCCTAATTGCTCGTGCATGGATTCTACGACAAGGTCCCACTGACCAAGGCCCCCAAACCCGTACTTAGGCCACCGTGCGTAAAACTGGACAACACCTTGAACTCGAAATCCTTCGTTCAGGCTAATATAGGGGCCTTAATAATTAGAATAGGGTTTTGGGGGTAAACTATACTACAACTATAATCAGGAACCCCCAACATAGTATTGGTACTTATTTCGGCCCTTACCTTAGCCAACGACAACTTCTAGGGGCCACAAAGCCTCAGCCCAAAACCGCAGAGGCATCGCTGAGCCTCACTGCCCCATATATCCCCAGCCCCGTCCCCCCCGTCGATTTCAAGCCCTCAAATCCTGGTGTCTTCGGTGTCATACAGACCCTCGCAACGGCTGCCAACATCAAGGGCCCCCTGGGTCAAGACATTATTTGCAAAATGATTATTGACAAAGGCATTGGCAATATCATGCAAACAAGAACCGACGAGGG